CCGTACATTCACTTACCAAACCGAATTTTAAAAAAAAATTAGATTTTTATTTTTTCAACATAAGTATAAAATAAATATTAAATATATATTAAACACAAAATATAAATGCATATGAATATGGTGCTCAATCTTCAATTTTCCAATATTGAATTACACAAAATTTAGAAATATAATTCTCACATTCAACTCAATCATATCAACACTATCAAAAAATACAAACAAAATAATTTGTATAATCTCGTATATTTCTTATTCAAGTATGAAATATACAAGTATATTTTTTCTAGATGACACAATATTGTTATGCAATTGTAAAAATAATTTGCAATTATTTCCTTATATCATGGAAATATTTCTAGATATTACTTCAAATTTTTTTCAAAAAACTAAAATTCATACACTAATAAAAATACGATAAATGCAAAATTCGTGCAATGCACGTGACAATCACTGTGCGGAAGGGTTTTTTTTTCTTTTTTTTTTTTTTTAACTTCGCACTGTATTGAGAGTTTGCCAACTCTCCGCACTGTGCGAAGTTTTTTTGGCTTTTTTTACTTCGCATTGTACGGAGAGTCCACACTTTGTGAGGACAGTATCCGCACAGATTGTGCGGACTATTTGCACAGAATGTCATCTCTCCGCACTGTACGGAGAGTTTTGCCATGATGTCTTGCCATCTCTCTGCACTGTGCGGAGAGATTTTTTTTTTTTTTACTTCGCACTGTACTGAGAGTAGGCAAACTCTCCACACATGGTTTGTCATCTTTCCGCACTATGCAGAGAGTTTTTTCTTCATGTTTTACTCCGCACATGGTTTGTCATCTCTCTACACTGTACGGAGAGTTTGTTTTTATTTTTTTTAAAGTTCATGTGCGAAAAGTTTTTTTTTTTTTAATGCTCGTGGCAGTTTATATTTACTAAAAATTTTTTTTTTTAATGCCAACCGCATGATGTGTGGAAGAATATTTGTTTGACATAATTATTTTTTAATGCTAGTAGAATGATGTGTGGAAAAATATTTGTTTGACATAAACAAAATGAAAAATAAAAAATTACATCATGCATAATAAAATTGAATTCATTTACTATTGCATGAATAGTAGATCCTCCTTCCCCTTTTTTATTAGAAGTTAGAAATATCAATAAACTTTGTAAAATGCTCAATCCATCAGTAACCGGGAGGATCAAATGACAATTTGCACCACATGTGAATTTCGTTTGCCACATAAGCAGAGCCGCCATACAAGTCAAACACTGATAAAAAAACATTTCGACGGAATTGAACGGGAATGATATTTCGACAACATTTTAAAGTTTAGTAATGTTCCCATAACATGACCCGAAGTTCAATTATCTTTCAAACAATTAACTCAACTTATGTTAAAGCACGGATAGCCTTGTCGACTATTTTCATTGCCCTTGGCTCTATTAGTTACTTCATTATTGCAAATGCCTATCAGATTTATTTATTTTGTTCCCACCATAGTTTTGGCTTCTCCATTTACTTGCAACGATCGTCATCAATCTTTTTTCATCGTCGCACTCGTGTTTTCAATTTTTACTTCGTCACATTCTTATTCTTAACATTCCATTAATTAACACATCTTATTTTTTCTGATGGTTTATGTCCATATCTTTTGTTAACGTACTTTGAAATGAGGACAAATATTTTGTTGAACTTCCCTATATGTAATTTTTTATTATTTAAAAGACAGAGGGAAATAAGTCTTTTTATACCTTCCTAACAAATTTTTGGAACGCAAATCTTCACTTGGGACAAAGTGTGCTAATTAATAGAAGATTAAAATTAAGAATGCATTGAAAAAAAAAAAAAAAAAAACAACTTAAGAAAATGAATTAAAAAAAAAAAAAAAAAAAACAACTTAAGAACATAAATGCTTCAACGAGCAAGTTTGAAGACTGTCTCATTGTAAAAAGAACCATTAGTAAAGATGAATAATATTAATTAATGAAAGACTAGTTAAAATTGTCACTAATGAAAAGGTTGGAGGTAAAAGTGTAATGTGAGGATAAAGATTGCGTATGAAACGTATAATTTAGCGTTTGCTGAAACCTCCCTCTTCATCAATCTTCGAGTTAATTGTTCTAACGGTCGTTGAACTTAGGTCTATATCTTTAATTGGTCACTGAAATTTAAAATGTCGAGTTTTGATTACTGAATTTAAGTTCATATCTTCGATTGCTTACTGAAGTTTAAAATATCGAATTTTGACTACTGAATTTTAAAAAATATTGTACATTTATCACTGAACTTTGAAAAATGTTATACATTACTCACCGAATTTTAAAAAATACTATACATTATTCAATATAAACTCGTTATTTTTTAAAATTCAACAATTATGCTAGTAAGTAACGTATTACATATTTCAAAGTTCAATAGTCAAAACTCAACCTTTTAGACTTTAGTGAGTAATTTAAGATATGAACCTAAGTTAAGTAAGAAATCTGAAATCGAATACATGGACTTAAGTTTAGTGACCAAAACTCGATATTTTAAACTTCAATGGCCAATCAAATACACGTCCGTAAGTTCAATGGTCACTGGAACAATTAACTCTCAATCTTCAGAAACAAAACTCTCTCTTAAAATGCAAAATCACAATCAATTGAAAATTTCAATGTGAAATTCCATTAAATTCTCCACAAGATTTATATTCGAGAAGATGCGGCCCGAAATTCGTTAACCCTAATAGTATGAATTTAGCTTCAAGAATTGGTTAGTCTTGTTTTCATGAATTTAGTTTTTTTCCGTCTATGGTTTTCCGTCTTTGGACTTTTTTTTGGCTCATGCAGGCCCGAATACATTTATTTTGTTATTATTTTTTTTTTTACTAATGTTTTCTAGTGTAAATGGAATATAGCATTTCACCAATTATTTTTTTCGGATTTAGTGAACTTTATATGCTTCAATATTTTCTAGGATACGAAATTTTTTCCCCTATTTCTGTAGTTTGAATCAATTATGATCATCCCGTTATTATGTGGAGTCAAAATTAAAATGTAGGGAAATGGGTGGTTATTTAGTTAAAAGGGGGAGCGAGGGGGGAGGGATTGCTTTACAGCAATTTGTTTGCTTAATTATAGTGGATTTTGACAGTCCAAGCAAATAAATAAATAAATAAATAAAAAGAAGAAGAGAGGAAGCTGAAGTTTCGGCTATAGTCGTGTTCCTTAAGCCAGTTATCTCATGCACCATTGCAATTTTCTTTC